CTGAACAAAGTTAATTCTTACTTTCAGAAACTGAATGAAGTTGCATCAAGTGACGCTTCCCCATTGTCAGACTTGTATTTTGCTGTTCTTGGGTTAAAAGCTCTTGGACAACGTCCATCAGATGTACCTAAAGTAGTCAAGAATATCCAGGGTGCTCTGAAAAAGGATGACAATGCCTTGAGGTAGGTTCTGAATATTTTAGTTAGTGTTGCTGTTAAAATATCCTGTTCTTAAAATTTTACCTGTGTATTGCAGTTTGGGATATGCGTTTCATGTTGCCGCTGCCATTGGTGCTGAGGGTCGTGCTATCTTTGATCGTATTCAAGATGCCATTGCTCAAGCAGATGAAGTTGATGGACGATTCCTTCAATTTGAAGGTGGATTAAGTATAACTGGTAAGCGTCTCTCAGTTGATGTCGTCAAATAAAATATTTCACTACTTGTTAATCTCTAAATCCCTTTTACCCTACAGCTCTTGTTGTCAGTGGGACTTTCAACTTGGCAGCAGCCCAAAATAAGGCTCCGCCAATTAACCATGAGCAAACTACTAAGTTTGCCAATTACTTCTTGAGTCGTCGGTCTGTACAGACAGCTAAAGGCATTTACAGCCTTTTGGATGTTCTCACTATTCTCAGTTCCAACAAGGTAAGATAAATAATTGTTAATCCATAATTCTTAATTTTTCAAAAATTTCCAGTACATTCTATTTAAATGGAGACTTACAACCAAGTGTTTCTTTCCCCTAGTTTTTACTTCCTGTTGCAATTAGCCTAGAAGGTACAAGTGCTGTATCCTCATCCAACCCAAAAGTGTTGCTGAAAGTTAGTGACGTTCTGGGCAAGCCAATTAGCTCTTCAGCCGTTGCAGTCATTGCTGAATCTGCCAAGGGTAGTGAGGATGTGGTAATTCTGTCCAAGAAAAAATTCGAAACTACTCAGGACAAGTAAGTAGATGATTCAAATTTAGACCTCATGAAATGTTGCTCTCTTGTGTCTTTCCTCTCATGAAACATAACTTACAGAACTGTATTTGCCCTCAATGTTTTTGAGGAGAAGCCAGCACCTGGGCAATACAGCCTCACTGTAAGTGCCACCCTTAACCAGGCTGACTCTCGTATTCCGTCTAACATTGTGACAACTGTAACTATCAAGGCCATGTGTGCTGTGACAATCACATCCTTTGAAATTGGCACAGCTGATGCTGATCAGACAACTCAACCTAAAATGCACAAGTATGTAATTTTCAAGTGCTTATCTTATGCTTATTTTTCTTCATGGCGCTATATTTTATGTTGCCCTTTTCTTTGTTTAGGGTTACTTATCCATCCAAGCTTCCATCTGTCCTGGAAGCTGACTCTCAGCAGAAAGTAGTAGTTCGCTTCCAATTGGTTGCTGCAGGCACAACTAAGCCTCTTGTTGTTCACCAAGCATTTTTAAGATTGTGGAATGAGAAGAGCAAACAAGAAATTATTTTCAATGCTGAAAGGGATGCTTCTAAGGTTTACAAGTTTGACATGGTAGGTCTGCTTTTCTAGCATTGTAGAATCATGCTTGTATTGTTTTGTATCTATTTACACACATTGCACTGTATTTTATCTCTTCTTCTGTCTTCTCTAGGATGTTGGTGCCAAGGACCCAGACTTCGGCTTTTTATCAGGGGAGTTCCATGTTGATCTCATTGTTGGAGATGCCATCATTGTCAACCCTCTGATGTGGCATGTGGCGGACTTGAAACTTTCTCCACCCTCATCAGAAAGCAAGGACACCTCTGCATCGAATCATGCTTACTTATACAAGCCCAAGCCGGAAATCAAGGTGCATTATCCCTTTCATCTTCTTTCCTAAGTACTAAGTATCTATGATCTAGAAGTTTCACTTAAAAGTTAGGTTTTCCTGGTATGTACATATGGTTCTATAGTATCTCAGTATTTTTGGATTTGTTTTTCAATTTTAGCACATGTTCCGTGAGCCTGAGAAGAGGCCTGCTGCTGTTGTATCAAACCTGTTTACAGCCCTGGTGTGCTTGCCTCTTTTGATCCTCCTTTCTTTGGTGAGTTGTCTCTGTGTAGTTTTACTAGTTTTGTAAGGTTGAATCTAAGATTAATTACTGACTGAAAAGGCAGAGTTGCCACGGTTGCCACATATGTCAGGGCAATGTACACTCAGTCACAGGAAAATTTTTACTTTTTCATTACTATGCACTTAGCAGCATTACTGCCATAAAATTTCTTTCTGATAACTCTTGCATGTTTCAAATGGTTTAAGTTTAAATTTTTGTTTTGAACAACTTCAAAATTTCATAATTGCTATGCATTCAGAAAATATATAGGGAAAGGCAGGGTATTTTACTCTCCTGTTTTTGTGGCAACCTAGAAGTGGCTTGGAGACTCTAATCTAATCTATCCTTTTTTCCAGTGGGCTAAACTTGGTATCAACATCTCCAATTTCCCTGTGTCATTGAGTGCTGTTGGCTTCCACCTTGGTCTCACAAGTAAGTTTAATCAATTTCACTAGAGTCTTGACTTATACCGGTGCATCTCATTACTCTTTGAAAATCTAAATGCCCAACCAGGCCCTTATTATAGTGACTGATGATGTGAAAAGACTGAATTTCAATCTGGTCCTTTTTTTCTACTTTCAGGTATATTTGGACTGTTTGTTGTATTCTGGCTAGAACTTAATATGTTCACAACTGTTAAGTATCTGCTAGGCCTGGGTGCTATCACGTTCCTCAGTGGTAATAAGATGTTATCACAAATAGCTGCAAGACCTAAAGCTTAGTCATTAAAATATTTCTAAATTGTAGCCTACAGAATCAAGCTTTGTATTTGTGTCACCACATTCCGTTACTTTGAATGCACTTGAAACCTGTTTATTTTTAACAATTTTTATACTGTAGTACAGATGTTAGATTTCTGTACATAAATATCTAAATATGTGTGAACAAATTTGAAAATGAAATTTTTGAAAATTAATTCATGAATTGTCAGGATTTGATGTGACCTCTCACACCTGCCGTTGTCTGCGTAAGGAGTGTGCTCAATTGATAAATAAAACCAATTTTCCATACATTTACTTTCCTTACTTACATTTTATACAGTTTCTTAAAGGTTTTTAACTTCCTGACTCTCATCAAATGTGATGTTACAGTTTGGGAGAGCGCTCTTCAATATTCCCGTAACTTCTATTTTGTTCTTAACTTCTGGTAAAGCTTCAAGTTTAAGCCTCTTTAGGTTTCTGGGGAAGATAAAAAAAGCTTTCTGTGCAGGATACCAACTTTAAGACGAACCTGACTAAGGACTGATGACTGACATAGTTCATACATACCTCAAAGCTGTAAGTGATGATACTCCTTCACTTGTGAGATTAAAACATGATGAGATTTCCAATGTTTTGAGGGAGGCCTCCAGTACAGACAGCATGTGTAATGCTTCATCATCAATGTACTTGCAATTTTTCATAATTATCTTGTCAATGTGGTGACAACCTTCTGTGGGGAAAAATTTTGAGAATTGAAAAAATTATGTGATACTTGGTTTTACGTCAAATGTAAATAGGTATATTTGACTTACTGAAATGAGGAAATCCTATAGCCATAATACTAGAATCTGTGGCATCAACAGCCTTAATAAGGTATCTTCCTTTCTCTGCTCCTCTTAAGGGAAGTGCATTATAATCAGTGACAAAATCTGATTTTCCTACCCATTGCACCATTGCACCATTTCTTAGAAGCCATTCAGCACAAGCCCTATCAGGGCCAACTTCTTCTATTCTTTCTCTGGACACCCTGCATTTTTACAGGCACTCATTTTTAAACAATGGAACATTGCAAACAAACTATTGTAGTGAAACAAAAAGTGATAACTTACTTGTTGAACACCGTACACACCCATTGCCAAAAATAGCGCGGCTGATTCTGTGAAGTTGTGCCCGGAAGCAGTCCAGTGCCAGCTCCCTTGGCCACACCACTTTGCTGAAATGAGACAAATAGTCAGTCCTGGATAGTCGTCAATTGATGAGTGTTTGAAAATGGTACAAGTATAAGCAAGCATTGCATCATACTTCATATTGAAAAACTATTCACCAAAATTTTCTGCAAATTATGCATGGAAAACGCAGATGTTGAGCTAACGTGACGGACAAGTGAGAGCATATTGTAACTTGCTTAGGGAAGTACCCAATCTGAAAACGGAAAAACTACATTAATAATATTTATTATTTTTACATTGCAGTTGTTTCAAGTATACGTAAAAGAACTCATCAAAAGCTTCTCAGAATGTCAGCCCGTGTTTCAAAACTGTGATACAAACCGGAAGATTTTTAGCTGGTAACGGTAACGCCGGTACTCATCAACAATACGATGGGTCCTTTGATTTTGGACGTCACCTTGAACAACGTACAGCACAACGATGCGAACGACAGT